TTGCTTTCATTATACTAAAATTCTATACAAAAAAAAAATTATGAAATGAAAAAAGTAATTTTTTTGTATTATTATTATTATTATTTATTAAAATAAGCACTTAAACAAAGCTAACATCTAATAAAAAGCCCAAAACTCTTACTTTCACTATAATAAAACGCTGTTTACAACTCAGAAGAGTCACAAATTGCAGTGCAATGTTTGGCTTTTAGATAAACAGAATAAGCTTTTGCATTTGTTTTCAGTTCAAAACACAAACTAGCACCAAGTTTATCACATGAGTATAGGACATTAAACAACACAGACATACAAAAAGATTCAAATTTCATCTGTTCTTGTTATATAGTGTATATAGTAAGAGAGTAAAACCAGCATGCATGTGCTCTAAACTGAAACACTCTATCCCGTTTGAGCTTAACCACAACACAGAAGTAGCAGAAACTTCCACTTGCTGAAGCCTTTCCTTTCTTTGACCTCAGTCTGTGCTACAGCAAAGCATGCTGGGTACACAAAAACTCCCAGCATGCCGGGTAAACATAAACGCAGCACAACCACAAACCAGCTTGTATATTTCTGGAAACCGGACTATATATAAACGCAAAAAGATTATTTCTGCTGCTTGTTCAATTTAGTTAATTCAATTAGCTATCGCAACGCAATTCTTGAACATTGTGAGAACTTCATTTCATTGCATGCAATTAAATTTATTAAACTGAAGTTTACTTAATTCTTGCACTGAAACTATGTGATCAGTTGTTGTTGGACCCAACTAGACGTACAGAAAACAGAAATTGATGCTGAAACTGCTGCAAGAGCAACGCTTCATTAATCTAATATAATGTTTGTGTAAACAAAACACAATCAAATATTGACAATACAATATTTATAATAAAATTATTAAATAAAATATAACACCATCAGTGTCGTTTACATCAGAATTCTACTATATTTAAAAAAATATTATTATTGTTTTATTTTCTATAATTTTATTTTATATTATATTTTTATGTTATGTTAGCATTTATTAATGTAAACTTATGGTGGTAAAAGGCATTAAAAATGTAAAGTGTAAATGCAAAATTGTACAAATACATCAAAAACATGTACAAATGTGTAAAAAAAATATTATTTTTAAATATATATTTTTTTACATTTCTTTCTCATTTTAAAGTAGAAAAACACAGTCCAATTATCTTTGTTTAACCTTGAAATTTTTTTTTTACAGTATCACATCACATAAAAGGAACAGAAAAGTCATGCATGTGAACGTGTATAACATCCTGCACATTAATAATAATAATAATTTTATTTTCATATTTTATTTATTAAAGCCAACATAAGGTAAAAAAAAAAGGTGTAAAAATGTAAAATGTAAATGCAAAATTGTATAAATACATTATATGTGTGATGTATTAAGAACTAATATAAAAATAATCACAATAAGTTATAAGTAGATAACTGATTTTAATATCCATTTTTTATAGTATCATCACATAAAATGAATATAAAAGTTCAGTTTAGTACAAAACTAAGACAAATTATTATTCATTGAAAAGGCCTTTTCTGTGCATAGAAACTGTTTTCTCATTTTCAGTTTACTCAGCATATTTATTTTACTTTACTTTATTTTAATTTTAGCCAATGTATGGTAGAATTCATTTCATGCCATATCCTGCACATTAATAATTAAGCTCACGGTTTGTACCTCCAGTGAAGTTGACGCTCATTTCCCGAGATGCTTCTACCGCCGATTGCAAAGTGTCTCCTCTTCTCTTCGCACCTGTAAATAATAAATACAGAGAGGTCAGAGTTCAGAGGTCACAAGGTCAGTAATCAGACTCTGATCGCACTTTCCAAAGGAAAAAGCAAAAGCTGAGCCAGAGCGAGTGTGTGAGGATTTCTGAACGTGTTAACATGCCAATCTGAGCGTCTGCTGGGGAATCCCAGAACGAAATATGGGTTAATGTTTAGCAGAGACTGCAATACCATGAATGCCTTCCAAACTAGAATGAAAAACACTGGAGTTCCCCAAACACACAAGCATTCATACACACACAATCTCTCCTGCACAGTCACTTATTTATTTAGAGGGCAACGTGTGAAAATCTCCTCCGTCACCGCAAACTAGGGATGCACCGATACCACTTTTTCCAGTACTCGCCCGCAAACCCATTTAAAAATTCAGCACGGCTCCAAATTCCTCTTCCAAAACAAGACAGACGAGATGCATTCCAGCAAATTAGCGAACAATCAGAGAAATCTTTCGCACAGCTCATGATAACCAGGGTTAAAGAGATGGAAAATGTGGCCTGTTAAAAATGTAAGACTGAAAAGATGTATTGGGTATTTTCACTCTGTGCTGTAATGTTAGTGTTAAATCTTGTTAAATCTAAATCTAAATGTTAAATTGTGTAGTGTTAAATCTCTCGTTAATTAAATCTTGACAGTACAATATTTGTAATAAAAGAATAAAATAAAATATTAATAAAAGAATAAAATTATTCCAAAACAACAAAGTAAAGTAAAATACTATATTAAACAAAAATAATATAAAATAATAAAATATTAATACAATTTAAAAAAGTTAATAAAACAATAAAGTAAAATATTAAATAAAACAATTACAATAATACAGAAATAAAGTACATTACTAAAACAATAAAGTAAAAATAAAATTATACTACATTACTATAACAATATAGTAAAATAAAATATTATAATGGAAAACTGGAAAAATATAATAATAAAAACACTAAAACAAAGTAAAATGAAATATGAAATAAAATAATAAAATATTAGTAAAACAATACAGTAAAATAAAATTATTCTCTCCTCACTGGATAAATGAAATCTGATCTGTGATGCAACTGTCG